TATAATTTTCTAAGGGTCTGTTCCCTGCACACAAAAAAGGTTGTTCTCACAAACACTGGGCTGAGAGAAAATCTTTAAAAAGCTTAATTCATGAGAACAAATGAGCGGCAAAGAATGAACAATTGTCATCCATTCACACAGTTTAAAGTATGGCTTGCCTTTCCTACAGACCACCTTGGCCATGGGCAGAATGGAAGATGCAAATTGCAGACAAACAACAGCTCTTCCGCTGAGACCAGCCTTGCTCACCTGTGGCTGTGAACAAGCTGTCATACTATTCCTGTAAAGAAAAATTGAAGTACATTTCTCCTCCCCCCCCCCAATATATTCTGGCTTGTTAAAGGTTGCTGGGAATTATAATACTGTTTACTCTGTAAACAAAATTCTTTTACAGGGGAAGATGTGCTTCAAATCTGCTTTAAAAGTATTGCATTTTGCCTAGCTTTTATCTTGTGGAACAAGACCCAAGAAGAAATATGGTAGGTAACTTGCATATTGTGTGCTATTGTGGTAGGATATGTCTGCAGTTTTGCAGTATATGAAGCCTAGGTTATTTCGCCTCTCCCACCAAGCCCTACATTGTTACTTCTATCTATTTCCTGTAATGTATGAAAAGCAAGTTTCCTGTGGCACAATAATTAAGCTAAACAAGTAGGAAAATAAAATAAATTCCCAACCCCCATCAAATCTAATTCTTATTTAATATACCATGCTGTCTCTAGATATCAAGGTACGTGCCAAGGAGCTGCTGCATAATGCAGTCCTTTTGATTAGCTTAATTCGTTGAGAACTCAAATACTTTTCACCATATGGCAATCTAAGGCATTGACAGCATGGATTTATATAAGCCATTGAGTGCTGCCCATCTCTTCGCCAACCATTTAATTAAAGTGGTGGCAATTTACAGAGAAAGAAAAAAAGGACTCAATTCAGTCATCAAGCTACACCATGTTTCAGGAAGCTTAACTATGGCTTAATGTGATGTTTCAATTGACAAACTATGGTTTGTGACCACTAACAAACCAGAATGAGAAGCTGGGGGGGGGGGGGAGCATAGTTGAAAAGCTCAGGTTTCTTCTATCTCTGGTATAGCATGATATCTGAATAAAAAACACAATGGATGTAGTTGTGACTAGAGAACCTGGATCTAGACACTGGGATTCTCAGTAAATAGAAAATGAAAGTAGATAAGCAGCTCTAAACTACACTGTATGCTCTAACGTTTGAGTTATGTTCAGTGCAAATGATGACTACACAACAAAATGTGTCATCTGTTACTGCAATCCTATGCACACTTGCACATCACTGAACATAGTGGGACTTCTTTCTGAGTAACAGTGCATAGGATTGTGCCATTGATGCCATCTCCATATTAATAATTTCAACTCAAAAATAAATATCCAGGCTTTCTTGGATTAAGCAAATTATTTGGATATGTTCCAATGAGCAGTAGCTTTTGTCATCTTGATGGAGGACGTATCTCAGGAACTAACTATTCAGAGGGAGTATATCCCTGTTGGTTAAGCATTTGTTAGACCTCTCAGTGACAGGGTTTGATTACGACAATGTGCTGGTCTGGAAGCGGCAGTTAGTTCTGAACACAGTAGCTAGCTTGCTTGTGGGGGCAAACTACAGGCAGCACATAACACCCTGCTTATTGGATTTTCACTGGTTACTGATCTGCTACTGGGCCAAATTCAAGGTGTTCATATAAGCATACAAGGCACTATAAAACTCAGGATTATGCTATATGAGAGACCATCAAATCCCTTACACACCCAGTGAATTGTTGTAGACTGTGGGAGAGTTTCTCAGAGCTTGGCTTTTAGTGTGGCTGCCCCTGCTATGTGGAACAGTGTTCTTATGAAGATATGACAGCAGCCCACCAACCACACTTCCCAGAAACAATTTAAGATATTTTTGTTCTGGCAGGATTTCTCAGTTGGATAAATGGGTCTTAACCACGAGCGTCTATTTTTTTTTTAGGATTTTAGTCTTGCTTTAAATGTATTTGCTGTTTATGTGTTTTTGGTTGTTTTTAATTACCTTATGTGTAAATCACCTTGAGGCAGTTGTTCAGAATCTGATTAATAAATCGATGATGACAGTAATAATAATTTGATACCATCAACTTCTGGGGCTTTTCACCAGTATGGGATTTGACAACTCTGTCCCTCAGAAAATAGAGGACCATTGCTTGGTCTCTTACCTATGGGTTTCCTTGGGGCTCTATTTTATCCCCTAACGCTTTAAAGATCTGCATGAAGTCACTGGGGCAGGTCATCCAGTGTTTTGGGATTGAGCCACATTATTATGTCAATGATACCCAGCTCTGTCTTTTTCAGTTGACACCAAGAGGGCTGTTGGACTACTGAACTGTAACTTAGAAGCTGTGATGGGTTGGGTGGGCCTAACAAGCTGAGGCTTAACAGATAAGGAAGAGGTGCTGCTTGTCAGACATCCTAATCTGGGACTGGAGGTACAGTCTGATCAGGTTCACAATGTGGGGGTTTCTTTTAGACCCAGCATTGCTCCTGGAAGGTTCCATGACTGTTGTGGTCAGGTCCAACTTTGCCCAGCTTAGAGGAGGACAGATGTGCCTCTTCCTGGAAAAAGCGGATCTGTACGTAGTGAGCTATCCCTTAATCATTGGTGCAATGCAGTACTTAAATATGTACACTGCAATGGCCTGAAGAATGTTTGGAAACTGAAGCTTGTGCAAAATGTCATGGCCAATATGCTTTGTTCTGCATGCTTTGCTGACACTACTGTATTGCACCAGTCTTATACAAATTGCATACACTGAGTTTAATGGAACTTGCTCCTAGGTAACTATGTAAATTCACAGTAAGATAGGGGAGTTTAAACCTTTCATGTTTCCTTCTGAAAGCTGTACTTGTGCCTCACCCAGTAATTGTTACTTGGTCCAGCAAATCCAGAGACTATCTAGCTGCACCTCTGGATTAAATAATGCTATGAGGATTACATTCCCCATGGCAGTCAGCAGGATGTCACAGCAGAATAGGACAGCAACATGCTTTAGACACCCCTAAGGCACTGCAATGCACAGACAGTCCTGCTCTCAGCCCAAGTCAGAGCTCTCCTCTCCATACCAACAAACTGAGAAATCATGTTTTGGGAAACAAGAAAAACACTGCAAGGAGCTTTCAGAACCTCCCACCTCCCACAATCCGAATCTATAAACTTCAGGCATGATACAGGCTGCTCCTCATTTGGATGGATGATGCCCTGATATTAAAAAGAAAAACAAGGAAAAGCATACTTAAAACTATTTATAAAATTATTCTAGTTGAAATTGAAGAAAATGACCAAGAACCCTAGGAGGTGTCTGGAAGAGGAGACATGAAAAATTAGTATCTCCAAATTGTTGACAATTCCATGAAATAAGATTACTGCTGCCATGTGAATCGCCCCTATACAAAATACTGTCCTGTGTTCTTAAATGAGAAAAATAATGTAAATATAATGAATACATGGATGGAAAATGTTTTTTTTTAGCATAATAAATATTTTAACTAAAATATTCATTGCAATTATCTATAGAATGTGATATAAAAATATAAAAAGTATTGAAAACACGGACAAAATCCATGTCCTATTCATGTGTCCTTAAGGTGGAGCAGTCCAGATGTGTCTACATCTGGACCACTTAATACTTACAATATCTGGCATGCTGCAAGCCACATGCACCTGAGCAAGGGCTGAGGAAGAAAAGGGATGGAGCGAAGAGAGCCCAATGCAGATACTTGTCCTGCTCATGCAGTAGGAAGTATACTGGGCCTGTTGTACATGTCCCTTAGCAATGAGTATTCAAGAAGCAAATTCTAGACATTCACTAATTTCCCTGCTCCAGAGTTATTCATCTGAACGCCAGAATATCGAAAATACCTTTTTTTTTTGCTTAAAACTCAGCTGGCCTGTTGCCATTAGTCTACCCCTATTTCTACCGTCAACACAAGACAAAATGCAGCACAGACCTGCTAGAACATCATTTTTATCAACAAGCAATTCATCATTTTACATTCCTGAATAGGAGACTTCCTATTTCGACATGCAAAGATCACTAAAACACATTTTGCCCCTTGGGTGATATGTTAGTTTGATTTTATTTTTCCTGACATTTCACCTGTCAGATTATCATAAATATAAGAAACAAAGAATAATTGTCACATTCTCACTGGATCTCATCATCAAATATCTGGAAGTATTAAGCTGGAAGGATAATCTTGGGGGAAGGATGTGAATACCGAAGGCATTATCCTTAACTCAGATTCCGGTGGAGGATTTAAACTGTTTCAGAATGAAATATAAACAGTTTGGAACTTTCCTTTTAAGAGTTTGAAAATACTAGGGTATTGCTACAAAGAAGCCAATGCACACACAAAAACCCATTTTATCAATACAAATGATTTTTTATGTTTCTTATTGCATTAAGAACATATAGAGTAGTAAGTTAAATTTATTAGGCACTAACAAACCAACATGCTGAACCAACAAACCACCCACTGAAGAAAGTTTAAACATATCCTTAATGCATTCATTGAAATCAATGGGTCTGAAAGTGCTTGACTTCATACCCTTGTAATGTAAACAGCTAACAGCTTGATCCTATGGAAGGTAGCACGCAGCAACAAATGTCAAGATCAGGCAAAAGAGTCAGTTCTGGCACAACAGAGGAGTTCTTGTCTTTGACTGGCATTACAATCCAGTCTTACTCCTTGCAACAGGATAGTGGTTAGCACCGACAATCGTGTGGCACTCTGCAAGTAGGCCACAAATGGCCCCATGTGCTCCATCCTAAAGGCTACATGTGCCACTAGAATCAAAACAATGTTAAACTAGCAAAAAAAGGAGGCGGGCCTTGTAGGGGCTTACTACAGGCATGCACAATATGTGCCTCGCTTTAGCTGCCAACAAATATAGTGTGCAACAATCCCTGCTGCATGCACTTAGAAAAATCCTAGAGTTTGTTTACTTACCTGCTTGACCAGTGGTAACAGTAACAGCTGCAAAAAGCCTCTGGGAGCGGCTTAAATCAGAAACGCCATTGACAGCTTCAACTTCAAAAGTGTAGTTAGCGTGAGCTAACAGGTCCAAGACGGTGACATAGTTGTCTGCTAATCCAGTTTGCTGGGGCATATATCCAACATTGCTCCCACAGGGAACACATTCGCCCTGCTCCCAGCTGCACCTCTTGCACAATACCCTGTAGGTCACATCGTTTCTTCCTCCGTTATCAGCAGGAGGGCTCCACTCCAAACTCACAGTAGTTTGGTTAATATTGAAAATAAGGTTCTGTGGTGCAGATGGAGGTCCTTTATTGAACACAAAACACACAAAAACAAATGGGAGGGAGGAGTTAAAACAGAAGCCAGCAGGGGGGAATTTAGCTCATGTTTTAATTACCTAGGCCAAAGCTTGCCAGAACATAAACTTTTCATTATATTTACTACAAGCTACCAAAAAGCCTGCTTGAACTCACTTGACAAGAAGCTTTATTTATTTTCCATTAAGGAAACAGGATAGCCGTTCTCTGTATATTTACTACACCTAGCTTTAGCAGCTTTTCTTCTGTGCAATTAAAGGGATAAGTTAATGCACCTCTGAAGCTGACGCATACAAAATGCCTCCAGTTGAATTTTTGTGTCCTTTTAAAATGCATTAAACAGAATACATTTAAATCCTCTTTACCCGGTTTTGATGCAATTTACAGCTTTATTTGGGTGGTTTTGTCTTTGAGCAAACTGCACAAATTCATTCCTTGAATCACCATTAAGTCTACTTGCAGGTGGAACGCCAAGCCAGATCCCATTACATTGCAGCCAGGCTCCTTATCTACACAGGTTACTTTTCATTTCACATGTCACTCATTTGGTGCAGTAACACATTAGGTTTATATGACAATGCAAATATATGTAGGAGAACCATATTTTCATCCTCGTCACAATATTTTTGCATAGTGTGTTCTCTGGGTTATGTTGGGGGCAACAGGGAAATTATATTTATGTAGTTCCTACTCTGTTTACTTTGCTCACTTTGCTGCTCAGCCAGAACTTTCAGTTTCAAACACTTCTAACTCGGATAGACTAAAGGCCAATACTGTGTACCAGAGAGAACGAGAGAGCCCATCTTAACATATAGATGTGCCTGGGGCTGGCAAGATAACATTCTTTGTGATTATCTATATGAATAACTCACTTGTGCATGCAACATATGGTGGATCAGTAGGTGCTCTGTAATAGCTGTCCTCACAATCACATCGCGAAGATCCTTCCCTGTCTGAGAAACTGTGCATAGGACAGCGGGAGCACTGCAGATCTTGCGAAGATGACTTGTAGAATCCACGGCCACAGGCTAAAAGATAATGAAACAAACAGATACCATTTTTTTAAAAAACCACGTGCGTCTTAAAGGGATATATGGCTTCAGGCATGTGAAAACGTACCGTGTTAAAATGTTCTCAAAATGCACTTTTACTCCTCTTTCATATTGTGAAAAGGTCCCACACTTCACTCCCAGCAAAAGGTAGTGGTTAAAAACATAAATGGTTTCTAACATCAGCTGAACTTACAAACTACAGCTTTCATTAGAAAAACCTATCCCCTCTCAGCTACATAATAATTCCAGTTTCCATAAGGACTACCAAAATAAGGCCTTTATGCAGTTAGGAAAAAATGTATCAAACTATTATGTATAATCATAAAATAATAGAATTACAAGGGATACTTAGGGTCATCCAGTCCAACCCCTTGGAATGCAGGAATCTTTTGCCTAATGATCAACAGTACCATATCCTTCCTTCAGTACATCTGTGGGGGACAGGACTGGACTTTTAGAATACACAGCTGCTGTAATAGGGAACATGTTGTGTCAGTATGGAAGGAATCACCCTTCATTTCCCCCAATCAGATAGTTATAATTGTTCCCATCATATTACGCTCATGTTACATATGATCATTGTTTTGTGTTGTGAGCTTTTTCCTAGGGTAGAGGCTCTATCTAAACCACAGTTAACTGAACCATAGCTATCTTTGCTGTTAACTGAAGTAAAGGTCAGCCATGCTGTCTCAAAAATAGCACTAAACCTATATATATATATATTTGATTCACTTTTAGCCAAATCTATCAAAACAGCCAAATGACAAAACAATTGTTTTCTGCCGTAGCTGAGCTTATCAGGCTATGAGGAAAGTGCATGAGAACTGCACTGACTGTTCCAGCCCAAAGCCCCTTGTGTGGTCTCTCAATTAGTGTCTCAGGTAGTTCTATATAGAAGGCTATGCAGTGACACTTATAAAATATTCTTCAACAGCACGTATTACATAAATGCAATGAAACGATTATTTTTAGAGATGTAAATCTAGTAAAAAATAAAAGCAAAACATCAACAATGTTAGCCATTCTTTTCAATATATAAATATGCAAATTTCCAATCATGTGTGTGTGTGCAAAATTTTATTTATTGAAACATATTTATGACAGCCTTTCACACATAGTTGAGAGTTAATACAACAGATTTTCAATTTAAACATCAAACTTACAAAGAAATAAATTGCTGCTAATAATCTAGGGCAGGATTATATCACAACAACTCACTGGAAGTAAGCACCACAAAAACATGGAAACATTTTTAAATAAGTGCTGAAATGCCACTAATGCTAGAACTTGCCTAAGCTCAGAGGGCATGTGATTCCTTAGAGAAGGCACCACCATAGAAAAAGTCCTCTCCTTAGCTGTTGTTAAAAAACATCCATAGGTTGCAGCACAACCAAGAGGGCTTCAACAGGCAATCACAGCAATGGAGCAAGGTTGTAAGTGAGCAGGTAAGTTGTTTATAACTTTATAGGTCAAAACCAATAAATACATATGCAAGCAGCTTTATACACACACATGCCTTCATCTCATACAGAGTCATTTTTTCAGCATTGGCTGTCCACAATGTAGTGAATATCAGTGTTTATAGTAATTTATGTCCGTCCATCGTCGTCCCCCCCCCCCCACCCCATGGAACTGACTGGTACGGAGGACCACAAATATGGTAAGATTATACCACAAATTGTAAAGGAGGTGCTGCCCATACTCTCTACCTGCTCATACTTTCTCCATGATACTTTTGACAAGGAGCAGAAAACCAATTGGGAACTTACCCTCTTCACCTTTAACAGAAAATCCACTTCTCACTGAAGCCTGCAAATTTTATGATCATTTAAGTTGTTAAATCAATTGTAAAACAAACTCAGGCAACGCTATAAAAGCATATAAAAGTGCATCTGGGAGCAAATAATTTATGTAAGCCCAGCAAACTGCAAGTGAATCACAGAAAAAGCATGTCTAAAGTAATGAGATAGGAGATCTGAACCGGCATGAATTCAAATTTGTATTGCTGAACACAAATAGTAATGCAATCAAACTAACATTTTGTATTTTTTCAGTGTCACGGATACTGAAAGTTGTCAGTCACAGATAAACATGGCTCCAAAATGGAAGTCATATAATAGTGGCTGTGGTGCACACACTAGATCAGTTGTAACCATCACAGGCATTTTCTAGGAACCCGTTTCACAATAATATCCTGTAAGTCAATGGATACCACTGTGGGTATTCCCTGGGTATGATTACTACTCCCTCTCCCTCTGTTCCACCTGCCCCAAAGTCCTGGCCTCGGTCAAATGGGTGGTAGTTTTAAATATGGGCATTTATATTCTGAGGACTTTGGACTGCATATTAATTGGTGGAGGAACAGGGAGGTTGATTTCCAAATGCTCAGGATGATCTATCTCAGCACTACTTCTGTCCATTATCACATACATAGTGTCTACCATAGTTATTTTGATGGGACAGCTCTGAAACGGAAGCTTTAGAGAAAATAAAATGCCCAGAATCAACTCACCCTGGATGAGATTTCACACTTTGAAGAAGCTATCCAGAGATCACCATGCTCACAAAACTGTTGCCTGGGCAGAAGATTAGGCATGAAACAACAAGCTTCTGATGTTTCTATGAGTCTGATTGCACAAATAAATGCGTTATGCAATAAGAATGTTTTCAGGTTATGTAATTCTTTAATAGGTCAGCGGATTATGTTATGTTTTTATAGATTAGTCAAAGGAGATAGTACGTGCAAATGTGTATGTGAACCCCTTTGGGTGGGTTTGATTTTGTTGTTGGTATACTGTGTATTGGACAATAATTATCTATCTATTATCTATCTATCTATTATCTAAATGCGTACACATAGTGTTCAGACAATCACAGCCAAAGGGAAGAAGGCCACTTGTATCCTAAACATTTGTGGTGGTATATCACTTTTTTACTACTTGTTTAACAGAAGGTTTTCTTCTACTGCAGCAATTTGCCCTTAAATTAAGCAACAATATATAAATTTAACGCAGTAGTCGCCAATCTTTTTGGCCGAGGGGCACATTTATAATCTTTGAGAAGAAGCTGAGAGGACCAGTCAGAAAATGGCGACCGCGAGAGGTGCATCCTAACACAAAATGGCTACTACCTCCAAAAAAGCAGAAAAAGAGAAGAGATGGGAAGCTAAAATGGTTCAAACATTTAAAGATCTATTCATTTTGGTGTTTGTTTGTTTGTTGTTGTTGTTACAAAAAAAATATGAAAAAAGTCTTGGTTGTTGCTGGTGTGCTGCTGTAGATTAGAATTAGAATTAGAAAATACAGAAGCTGTGGAAGTTAATTTAACTTAACCTTTGGAGTGTGTGCCCCACTCCCAGTTAGAACTAGTTCCGGTGCCAACATACAGTTGCCATAGAGCAGGCGTAGGCACAGACAAACTCGGCCCTCCAGATGTTTTGGGACTACAGTTCCCATCATCCCTGAGCACTGGTTCTGTTAGCTAGGGGGATGGGAGTTGTAGTCCCAAAACATCTGGAGGGCCGAGTTTGCCTGTGCCTGCCATAGAGAGTCATAGAGCACTTTGTAGGGGACCTCATCTCACCTCCTATAACATCACCAACAAACAGCTGACTTTGCTTGAAGACTTCCAGAAAGGAACAGCCAAATGTAATTGGTTCCATTGCCGAACTGCTCTTAAAATTAATAAGCACCTTCACTGAAATCCACCCTTCTGTAGCTGAAATCCATTAGAACTTTCCCTGACCTCTGGGGAAGCAGAGAACAAATCTTTGCCATTTGCTGTGTGACAAAGATGGAGCCAAAGATACAGAGATGGAGTTATATATTTGTGTCACCTAAACAGAAGCCATTTCTTGAATCTGAAAAGAAGAGTCTTTTGTCACATCGTACAAGACTACGGTAGAGTAAACGATCTTTCCCCTTCTCTCTTTTTTTGTGGGCAGAAATGCAACTTTGATTTGAGTGGCAATAACCTAGAGTGCCCATGGTTTAAAAAGAACATTGCACTGTTATTAGCACATTGCACATTTTGCATCCAGGATCCCAGACTGGATCAGCAATCTCTGAAATGCACTGGGCAGCCATCTCAAGGGAACCCTATGTAAATAGCTCCCTTGGCCCTTTCAAGTGACAAGTTTGGTCATTTTAATCTGCTTTAGAAGGCAGCATGTGAAAGCACTCTGGGGTTAGATTAGCAAAGGTAAAAATGTCATTTAGACACCTATTGTATACTCAGTGTCTCTGGTGATCTTTCTAATGCCTCTGAGAATGTGTCCCTTAGGACCAGTGAGGCTGTGATTATTGAACTGTTTGCTTTGCAAAGAAAAATCTCATGTAAAATCAGAACTGAGTAGCACAACAAAATTTCATGGAAGGCTTGTAACACAAGTCACATTCACAAATGAAATCACTGTGGACTCAAGTAGCTATCACTTGCTTTGAAAAGAGGCAGACACAGAAGGTTTAAGCTTATTTCTGTGTTGTAATCCTCTTCCAGAGCATAAATATTATTTTGGCAAGGAATGGGGGCTGTCCCTTTACCACGCAATATATCCCAAGTAAAAGGAATACTGCTTAGAAAATGTGCACCCTTCTAAATCCAATCTTTCTCACACACAGAAAAGACACTTTACAGCAGCAAAGTGACACTTATTGCCCATGTTTGAAATAAGAAGATAACTGGGTAACATACAAAAAGCAAAGGATGGCATTCAACTAAGTTCTACTCAGAGCAGTCATATTGATATTAATGGACCTAGCTTAGTGAGGTTCAGGGCTTTTTTTCATGGGTAACTCATTGGAACTCAGTTCCAACACCTTTCAGGTAGGTGCCACTGTCATTCTAAGAGAAAGAAGGAGGCATTCATGGTGACCTCTTTTTGTAGAAAAATAGCACTGGTCAGGTTCATTAAATTTAGTAGGTCTACTGTGAATGAAACTTAGTTGAGTGCCATCACACACCTCCCCCCTCCTATA